GTTAATGATGCACATCCGCAAAACTGATGCACATGTGCACGCGCAATAGCGTGTGCACGCCCGTTCTTGGCGCCAGGCGGGCTATTAAAGGATGGCTTCTGCATCTGCAACTTGCTGAGAGATCTTCAGCTTTGGTCTGCATTCCTGATCCTGTTTTTGATACCTGTCTGACCCAGCTTCAATCCTGACTCTGCCTGCTTGCTGCCTGCCTTATGACCTCGGCTTGTCTTCTGACCTCCCCCGTCTTCTGATTTGGTACCATTCTTCTCGCAAGTGTATGACCCGGCCTGCTCCTGACTTCGCTTCTGCTTCTTGCTTCTGTACCACGCTGAGCGCACGTTACCGATCTGGATTGTTCCTGACCTTGCTTCAGCTTCTCACGCCAGTACTGCCTGATCTGTTATCAGCCATCAGCTACCTCCAGCATCCAGTCGCCAGCACCATCATCTCCAGTGTGTCAAGCATTCATATCAGCCACAGGCACTCGTGCCCCTCTCTGTCTGTTCAGCTGCAGTCCCATCTCAAGTGGTGCTCAGATGAGAGCTTCAAGGGGAGGCCTTCCTCGTCATTCAGGCTCACACCAAGGTACATGACAGTTGGCTTAAAGGTTGTCAAGTCCCTGCTGCCATCACCAATTTTAAGATGAATTTCTCCACAACGTCTACAGCTGCAGGGGTGAATGACGACTTGTTTTAACATGGTTTTACTGCTTGCTCAGAATATGTAAATACATTATTGTGCATTGTATGTGTACAGGTTCACTTTATTGAACAGGGTTTTCCTATGTAGTATTCATGCCTGTAACATATTTTCTGGACATTGTTTTTCTCACTGATGTTGAATGGTGAACATCATGCAAATATTAAAGGCCACTAGTAAATCTATAGAAGTATTTTTAACCACTTACTTTCTTAGCTCCCATAACTGTATACAGCTTATAGATCAGAGTAAATTTTACATTACTGCTATGGGCCTTTTTATTTGGCAATAACCTTGTCATTAATTAAGATAATAAAATAATGCATAGTAATTTTTTGAGGGACAAACAACGCTTTCTTTTGGCGTTATTGTCTTTCAACAATTATTTTCTTCTATGCAATTTATAGAACAAAAGATTTAAAATATGAAATGGAAGTAGTCCCCCTCCACACTGCAAAAGTTAACTGCTCATTTTGCAAAGGAGATAATGAATAAGGTGATATATCTTCGTGTTGCATGACCGGTTCTCCCGGCCCAACCAGTCACAGCTCCCTGGCGTCATCCTGTTACATGCAGGACCAGCAGTCTTGTACTGTACTTGAAGTCACCAAGGGTCTGGCCACAACCCAGGACGTTGGACAGCAAAAAAAAAGTACCAGTTGACAGTAGGTGGTCAAGGAATAAGGTAAAAATAATACCTTTTTCATCTGGAATGGGCTACCTTAACACAGCACAAGTTATCGTACACACTGGAATGGACCTCGTTGGTCTGACGGGAGCCTTAATAAATTGTGTCTGTAGTGTAATAGTGTTATGTGGTTGTGTTCCATCTGCCTCAGATGGATGAAAAAAACCCAAATCTTTTTTTTCCCCCAGCATACCACAATGCATGGCATGTGCATGGTGATCCACGTGCCATTCGTTGGCACCTACTGTACTGGTGCGTTGGGGGTGCCCTTAAAAGTGAATGCATTGCACACCGAGTTGTTACTGCAGCCGCAGCGTATAGGCCTAAAGGCAGCCCCAAGATAGAAATATCCAAACTCTTTATCCATCATCAAGACAAAAAAAACAAACAGGTGTTTCTAAGGTCTTTATTGAGACTTTACATAAAACTCTGGACATTAAATGACTTTGCGTTAGTTCTGCCATTTTCCTTTGTTACAGGGTAAGTCTGCCCAAAACTGATATCTCAATTTGGAGTGCCCACTGTGGGGTTTAGTCATCTCTTACAATCTTCTTAGACCTCTAAGAACCCAGCTTTGAAGACCTAAAGCTTCAGCCCGCCCTTTCTGACATAAACTGTAGGTCACCGAGTTGTGTGGTGGTGTCACATTGCTCATGTCGCGGGCCCTATGGAGAAATCAGCAGCTGAAATCACGACACTTCACTTGTGAGATACCGGCTTTAAGTGAACTTACCCTTGAAGAAGTACAGAACAGAATAAAGTTTTACAGATATAGTAAAATAGTTACATTGTTTCATCGTAAAAATAGATTCTTATAAACTTTTCAAATCTTCCATAATATGCCAGTAAGTGCTTTTTTACAGGCTAAGGCAAACATAGACCATTTTATTATATTGCCAGTATATATGTATATATTACATTCCTAACGGACTCCTGGGCAAATGAAATGTAAATTGGCATCCGGTTCTCTAAACTCTACCCTAGTCTGCTGTATACGCAGTTACGATGCATACAGGCCTTAGAGAATGTTTGACCAAACCAGCCATTTATTATCAGAATAAGGAATGCTTGTTCATCTGTAGGCTTGCTGGTCAGTCCTGTTGTTTTCTCTGGTGGCAGGCTGGCACCCAAAGGCATCACCGTAGTCTTTCTATAGCAAAAAATAACAATTGTGAACCGGCATGCTTGTACAGCGATCATTCGCAGGAAAGATAGATCAGCAGCTGGGTTGTAAATAGTGTCTGTAGGCACCTTTAGGTCTGACAGTGCAGCGCAATGACGCAAATTCATTGCAATGGCAGATGTAACAGCAGCACACGCTTGGCTTCCCTTTGCTTCACTGGTGCACTGTTCAGCCATCAGGAAAGCAGAGAGGAAGCCATGTGTAAACTTAGAGGACTCTCTCCCCATCCCTATGTGGTGGTACTTGTCACCTGAGCAGCCAACAACAACTGAAATGAGTCCATAATATTCTGGAAACAGGAAATATTAACAAAATATGTCAGTCCAGATCACCTTTACATGAGTTCTAACTATTCTCTTGTTGTCTAGCTACAGTACTGCTGGATCCACCAAGGCCCTGGTTGAGTTTCAGGCTCAGGGTCAGTTGCCCAGATAGCAATGATTACTTGTCACAAACTTGTGGCAGGGTTAAATTGTAATTCTTGTTAACTTGCTGCACACATTCCCTGGCGAGCTGTAGACTTGCAGAACACTCGCAGCACAAGTTCTAGGTGACACTTTTTGAAATTGTAGGAAATTTGGCAAGTCTACAGCAAGAGTCCCCCAGGTCTTAGCAAGAGCTCTGCAAGTGTTCAGCACTTTTGCAAAGCACGTTGATCTGGAGATTTGCAATGCAGACTTGCTGTAATTGTGCAACAAAATTGTAAAGCTTGGCAAGTCTGCAATAGTTAAGCAAGTCATTTTCAAACTTGCAACTCAATTGCTTGCTATCTGGGTATTCTACTTTCTTAAAGATCGTAATCGAATCACTAAAATATCTAATAAGCATTAATATGTTACTGTCATTTTAAAAGGTTTTCAATATTTTTTAAATCCGACAGAATCCTTGGTCGATCCAGCCATGAAGGGCCTTATTCAGGCACTTCCTGTTATAGATATGACGGCTGTCTCCCAAATGTGCTCTTGTGCTGTCAGTCTGCCACATACGCCATTGGTGAAGGCTACAAGCAGCTATGCCAACACACATTGCTCAGACATGGTCCACCTTTGTGAATATCAGGCAGCCGGTCCACAGCAATGGTGTGCAGCCAACACTGGAGCGAGTGCATGAAGACAGGAAGTGACCAGAAAGAGGTTGGAGGTGAGCACTGAGAAAAAGGTGAAAACAATATTTTATGATAGAAATGACAATTGTTTATGCTATAACATGTGTAGAAAACTAAATGGATCTACTTTAAATCACATGATTCTGGTCTACTTGCTGTACTTTCTACATAAGAAACAGCAAGAAGCCTACAATGAGTGGGATTGGGAATACCCGGCCTGGTGATGGGTGTTCCAAGATCATCAGATTGTCATCATGCAGCATAGTAGCTCAGTCTAACGCTTCTATTTCAGAACTACTTTTTGTGCCCCAGCCCTTCGTTATCAAAGAGCAGGGAAACAGAGACTGCTACATTGTGTCTGAGCTCTTTGTATGATACTTCATAAAGGGTCAGTCCACCCAAAAGTGGTACCCAATAGCCTGCTGGATTTTACATTTATTTTCTATTATGAAGGATGTAACAAGAAGAGCTGGAAGTTGAATTGGTATCCCACCGCACTCCTTACCAGTATGCCCCTTGGATGGGTGCTGAAGTGGCTGCGGATGGCACCACCATAATCCAGGACGATACAATGAACGGAATTATCAAAACTGCAGCAGACAAAATCTGGAGCAGCTGTGCATGGCAACCAATCAGCTTCTATCTTTCATTTTCAAATCTTAGTTGAACAAACTGAAGAGAGAAGCTGATTGGTTCATATGCACAGCTGCTCCAGATTTTGTCTGCTTCAGTTTTGATAAATTCACCCCAATATGTCACCAGCACACTAGAGTATAATGTCCAAAAACGTCTTTATTGACATTTGTATATAATGTCACAAAGAAGGCAACGGCCCAAAGCGACCCCGAAGCTTTGCCTTCTTTGTGACATGGTGCACATGCGTCAATAAAGACGGGACATTCTACTCCGGTGTGCTGGAGACATATTGCATCTTCTAAGAGGAGCTGGGACCCATAAATGAGGACGGGAATGTCCAAAACTCCCAGGTGGACAAGAACAGAGTTGGGAATTATGGCAGGAGGATCTCAAGGTTGGGTTATATAAGACATCTAAGAGGCCAGGGGCTGACTCAACCCACCAGGCCTTACCCATAGCTACATTTTGGTTTTAGCTGGACTGGCTCCTTAATTATTTATGCTACTGATCTTTGCTTTATGTCATGAAAAACACCTAGATAAGACTATATCCAAACTTAATGAAGGTTTCGTTGTTTTTGTTTTACAAATGACCTTTTGGCGCAGCATTTAAAAAAATATAAATAGATCTTTTTTTTAGCTGTTAACTGCTTTAAATGCCTCCAAACTATAACGAAGCTCCGTGTGAAATAAAAGGCTTCTGTCCCGTAGCCTCTAGTTGGAAAACACTTGGTAGCCGACGTCCCGGATATTCATTTTGAAGTTGTAGTTCCCGGTCCTCCGTTGATGCCAGCAGACCAAGATGGCGATGGCAATGGAAATCACAGCAAGGGCACCGATGGCAATAAGGATGATGTAACCTGGGCTGAGTGTGGCATTAGTTGCTCCATCCGAGTCATGGGCTGGAAAGAAAGAACATTTAAATGCATAAAATATGACCACAGAGCTGCATGTAACTAGCTGGGGCTTGTATACACAAAGGTGTCCAGCTCATCCTACAATCACAACGATTTTGGTTTATATTTACGCGATCCTGACAGCACTTTTCTTATATATTTTTTGAACTCAGGCAGGAGATAGGACGGCCTGACTCTGGGCTCTTTGACAAGGAGAGAGTACAAGCAAATAAACAAAATGTGCACCATAATCTTGTGACAATAAAGGGGCTCCTTTAAAGGAGAACTATGACTGGCGGAACGGACGGGGGAGGGGGCTGGTACAGCTGGCTCTGCCTCTAGATAGGCAGAGCCAGCTGTCACTCACGCAGCTGGGCGGATCCCGTCATCAACGTCGGGATCCGCTCCAGGTGCGGCGTCTCAGTATACCGCGAGCTGTAGCTCGCGGTAGCTCGCGGTATACTGAGCTTAGGGTGAAGGGAGGACGCTAGTTTGTGTCCTCCCGTTACCCTAAGGAGAACTATGGGGAAAAACAGTGACCCCATAGTTCTCCTTTAAAATGCCGCGGTATGGCCGCACAGCAAACAAACACAACACATTTATATGGTGACGGACTTTACAAATGTGCTCTGTACTCTGCCAGCTTTGGGATTCTGAAGCTGGTGGAGCTAAGACAGCCAGGAGATGGGACAGCTTGACACTTGGCTCTGACAGGGAGAGACTGCCAGCAAATAATCCAAATGTGCACTATGAGTTTGTGACAATAAGGGGCTCATTTATAATGGCCGAACTGCAGCTATACCACTGCTATAAAAAAAAAGCACTGCACATTTGTAAAGCACAAATGTGTTTACAAATGTGTTTAGCACTCCAAAAGATTATAAAAAACAATTTAAAATAATGAAAAGGTTTTAAAAAAAAGAGCCCAGTTATGTAACCAGTCACATAACTGGCTCCCATTCAATTCATTTGGCACAGAGAATGCTGTGGCGCTTCGCCGACTATACACCACAACCCAATGTTTCTGAATAGCCGCGCTGCAGTGTGCAATATAATGGAGAGTGCATAGCAATATCCACTCTCTGTTATGAATGAGCCCCTGATTGTCCCCATTTTTTGGTGTGCTAGTGAAGCCATGCCATTCTACTTAGTACCATAGGACAACATTATCCATTGTTTTGTCACTTTGCATCCATGAGTATAGGTTTTCAGTCCTTTAAGAAGTGTGCAAGGTTACAAGGACTTACAAAAATAATCAAAACTCACACAAGAGGTAAGTCCTCAATGTAATAATTTAAGAGTAGAACTTCAAATAATTACAAAGGCGCATTTGTGTCTGGTTTATATTATTAACAATTCGGGTACTAACATCGGCTGGCCATCCGCAGGGGTCCCATCTGAGTGACTTCTTTGAGGATGTCACCGCTCCTGGCAGAAGCTCGGTAACTGCTACATGACTGGAACAACAAGAGCCGAGAAGAGGTTAAATAGTATTCATTATATTAAACAACTTAGAATGTCCAGCTATAAGTGAATAATACCTTTTGCTATGATCTTGCGGGGAAAGGGGGGTGTGGATCCAAATCACTGCTTTTAAATCTGAACTCCAAGCAAAAATAATATACTTTAAACACAAGAAATGTGTGTATTATTGTATTATTGGTTGAATCTTGGCGTGCTTTGTGCATTTCCTTCACATATGTGCTCCAGTAATCCACATATGTAATCCAATGGCTGCAGCACAATGGTTAAACTGAAGGTTCAGTTGGGCTTTAAGTACCTTTCTCACATTCCCACTGGTACTCCAATGGTAATATATAAGCAGCATAAAGGCCTCCAGGAGACGACCTTAATCTAGTCACATCCAAAATCCAATAAGCCATGTACAGTACCTATCTTCTACATTCTTTTCCTTCCAAACATCGTCTATATATCCAGCTCCCTTGTCATCTCCTCCCATACTCACCTCCAGGACTTCTCTAGAGTCTCTCCCATCCTCTGGAACCCTTTACCCAATCCTGCCGTCTATCTCCCACTCTGACTGCCTTTAGGCGATCCCTAAAGACTCATCTCTTCAGGGAAGCCTATCCCACCTCAACCTAACCACTGAACCATCACGTTCTTAAACTATTCATCCCCACAAAGCTACCTTCTCCTGTATCACTTCCCCCCTCCTCTGTCAGATTGTAAGCCCCCAGGGACAGGGCCCTCCTTACCATCTTGTCTTGAGTTGTATTGGGATTGTAATGTCTTCCTTATATTGTAAAGCGATGCGCAAACTGTTGGCGCTCTATAAATACTATGTAATAATAATAATATATACATACCGGTCTGCAGGCATTAGGCGTGTCCTCCTGGCACACGTACAGTCGGCAGTGCAGGTACACGATGGGTTTGTTGACAAAGGAGAAGATCTTTGTTTGGAAGGTAGCGTTGCTGGAGATGCCATTGGTCTGGATGGTGGTGAAGGTGTTTGGCAAGGCACAGCTTTAATGCAGAAAGCAAACCATTAAAGTCCATTATGAGTCCCTTTTACTTAAATTATAGTATATGGGGATGCAGGTACCTGTTTAACAGAGCAAGCGACAACTATTAACTAATATTATGTTGGATACCCATCAAATAGACAGGGAGTAGGAGTAGATCTTTCTTATGTGGACAGAGACAGGAATACAATCCTTTACAGAAGTTCCAACCCTTCCTCATTGCATCCAAAACAAAAACAGAAAAGTCTCAGCTGGAGTTGGGCTTTAACGTTAATCAGGATAAAGAGGAAAGGGAAGGAAGAATTACTACCTGCTTTTGATGAAGGGGAAAGACATGGGATCGTAGGCATTTTCCGTTGTCGTTGCCCAGCATTCACTGATGACAACTTTGAGCTGGCTGTCTTCTGTCTTGATCCCTATTCGAACCGTTACGTCATCTGTGGCGGATAGTGTGAAGTTTGGCATGATGGGCTGATCACCAAGAAACAGTTGGAATTCCGGACGGAAGGATCCTTGGCCTTCTAGGTTTTCGATGATGGTGTAAATCCTGAGGGACCATAAGAAATCATAAGATTTTCCTGTGTTCTGGTAAGGAGGCAAAGACTGGAAGAATCAATCTGGTCTCTTCATGTTTAAAACATTACAAGAGCCCATTGATTGTACAAAAAACAGCAGCTCACAGTCCTCAACATTTTGGAACCACAGTGGATTCATTTATAAAGGCAAATGTGACCTCTATATGTTTCAGATCATTGGTTGCTTCAGCACCCACCATATAAGGTATAATACTGGTTTGGTGTGCCATAAAGATATGTAAATGATCCACAACAATTTTGTATCCACATGAGCTGACATGCAGTAATGACGCACGTGTGGTGATAGAGTGAGAGTATTATACACAAACACTCTTATGCCACTGGAGTTGGTCTAGTCCCTATCCAATCCTTGAAAGTGATACTGAAATTGTCAGTATTTTTCATGGATCTGGCAATTTATTGCCCCCTGTGCACACTGCTCATTATACTCATCTATGTGAGAAACGATACTATGATACTACTAAATCTGTATTATTGAAATACATTACCCTCCAGCAGGATTGTATCCGCTGGACAACAGGATGTCATTCTGGAAGACACAGCGAATTAAAATGACCGCCCCTGGTGTGACGTTTTGTGATGTTGTGGCTAAGCCGATGTACAGGGTTGAGTTCACCACAGTGTGAGTATTATTCTGAAAAAAACATGATATGAGCATGAAGTCACGTAAACATACAACCTGCTCAGTTACAATGTACATTATATGGCCAAAGGTTTGTGGACACTTCACCATTACACCTGTGTTAGCTTGTTGGACATCCCATTCCTAAAATCTATGGGCAGGTATATGGATTGTGCCCCCCCTCTGTGGCTTTACCAACCTCCACTAATCTGAGAGAGCTTTCCACAAGATATTGGAGTCTGTTTGTGGGAATTCGTGACCATAAGCCAAAAGATTTGTGAGGACAGGTGCTGACCTTGTGTGAGAAGGCCTGGCTCACAATCGGCATTCCAATTAATCCCAAAGGTGTTCAGAAGGGTTTAGGTGAGGGTTCTGCGAAGGCCACTTGAGTTCCTCCACACCAAACTTATACAACCATGCCTTTATGTAAATGGCTTTGTGCACAGGGGACAGTCATGCTGGAACAGAAAAGGGACTTACCCAAAGTTTTCCCATGAGGTTAGCAGCACACAATTGTCTAAAATGCCTTTGAATGCTCTAGCATTACCAGTACCCTTCACTGAAAACACAAACTCAATAATTTGGATAGTGTCCTAGTTCACCTCTGTGGACTACAGAACATCCACCATGTGATAGAAGCATCTATAGTCAAAATCAGGAGCAGCCTAGTTTGTCCAGTGGCCTGCACACAGCCCTGACCTCAATCCTATTGGACAACTTTGGGATGAATTAAAACACTAACTGCTAGCCAGATGTTCTCATTCAACATCAGTACCCATATGAGAGCAAGCCAGCATACCACAAAAATATAGAAATGACACTGACGATACCATTGGTCAAGAACTCTCATCATCATTGATAGTTTGGAGACAAAGTGGGACATACTGTTGCTTTTAACATCAGTAATTGACCTCACAATGTTTTTGGCCGAATGGGAACATTGAGCATGGTGTGGAGGAACTGAAGTGGCCTGCCCAGAGCCCTGAACTCAACTCTACTGAGCACCTTTGGGATAAATTGGAATGCCAATGAAGAGCCAGGTCTTCTCATACAACCTCACAAATTATCTTTTGGCCGAATGGGAATAACCCAATGACATACCCTAAAATCTTGGGGAAAGCCTTCTTAGAAGAGTGGAGTCTGTTATATAGCTACAAAGGGGAGGCCAACTCCATACTATTGGTTTTGGACAGGATGTCCAACAAGCTTTTCTAGATGTATTGGTCAGGCGTCCACAAACCTTTAGCCAAAATACAGCACATATTCACATATATTTTTCATTTTATTTAATTACATGTTATTTCTTTTACTGAGAAATCTAATTCATCCCATCCCACCCAGCATATATATATATATATAAACGTTCCATGCTGGGATACTTTTATAAATGTTCTGTCCTTTAGGAGCCAATACCCAATACTTAGTGCAGTTGGTGGCTCTCAGTCCCAGCTGTCAATGACAGCTCGGCTACCCAATGACGATTGTACTTAGTTCCCTATATCAACCCAGAAGAGAAAAAAACTTTAAGGTTGCAGGAATGAAGAGCACTCACCCTGAATAATTCCGTGTTGCAGTCTTTCCAGCCAGCTAGCAAGAGGATGTGGGTGTCTGTGCTGCAGTTCACAGAACACTCCGGGCTTCCAAGAAACAGAGAATGGCTGGAGATAGACATCATTCTCAGGAAGTCTTTCTTAATGGAGATGCCAATTTTCCCCGTCTCACATATTACTTTGCTGGCATCTCTCAGAGTCAGGCTGCTGGTAGGATGTGTTGTCATAGCCTGAAGAGCCATGAGGGGTGTACTGGTGGATTCTGTGCAGAAGAGAGATCTTTACGTTAATACTGTTATGAACAAATGTATGTCTGTATACTGTGCGATAGAAATACAGAGAGGATAGTGTACAGTCTTAGTATGCAAATGTGAAAAATAATTTAAGTTCTGTAAAAAACAAAAACAAATATATTTTTAGCTTACTTAAAAACTTTGTACAGAAGAGTTAAAGGCATTTTAGTTTACTTTGTGCCGTATGTGCATCTTTAGGCAGATTTCTCTACATTTCCCATCTCAGAAACACAACAGGAGGTCAGTGGAAATCTCTACAAACAAGGGAAGTTCCCCTCTTAGACAACTGTCATCAAAACAAATGTCCCCATTGATGGATTGTACATTTTTTAATTTCTCATCCCTTTCCGTTACAATTGCAATGGTCACCGGGATAATGTCAGGACCAAAAGCAAACACTCACAGTCAAAGTAAATAAAGGTGAGTGACATCACCAGTAGCAGACACCTTTTCCTTAAGGCAAGTGCTCATACCGGTACTTAAATGCCCCCAGGACTTAAACTATATACTCTGACTGTATAATGTTGCAGGCGAGCCCCAGGTGCAGAGCAGTGACTGGTGATGGAGGACACAGCAATAAGAGTATCTACCAGGGACAGATTAAGGTCAGGACTGGAGGCAGAGAGAGAGTATTCCAGGGACAAGCTAAGGTCAGGACTGGAGGCAGACAGAGCATTCGAGGGACAAGGTGAGGTCAGGACTGGAGGCAGACGGAGTATTCCAGGGACAAGCTGAGGTCAGGACTGGAGGCAGACAGAGTATTCCAGGGAGAAGGTGAGGTCAGGACTGGAGGCAGACGGAGTATTCCAGGGACAAGCTGAGGTCAGGACTGGAGGCAGACAGAGTATTCCAGGGAGAAGGTGAGGTCAGGACTGGAGGCAGACGGAGTATTCCAGGGACAAGCTGAGGTCAGGACTGGAGGCAGACAGAGTATTCCAGGGAGTCTATATACTCTGACTGTATAATGTTGCAGGCGAGCCCCAGGTGCAGAGCAGTGACTGGTGATGGAGGACACAGCAATAAGAGTATCTACCAGGGACAGATTAAGGTCAGGACTGGAGGCAGAGAGAGAGTATTCCAGGGACAAGCTAAGGTCAGGACTGGAGGCAGACAGAGCATTCGAGGGACAAGGTGAGGTCAGGACTGGAGGCAGACGGAGTATTCCAGGGACAAGCTGAGGTCAGGACTGGAGGCAGACAGAGTATTCCAGGGAGAAGGTGAGGTCAGGACTGGAGGCAGACGGAGTATTCCAGGGACAAGATAAGGTCAGGACTGGAGGCAGACAGAGTAATCCAGGGACAAGCTGAGGTCAGGACTGGAGGCAGACAGTATTTCAGGGACAGGATACTGAAACAGAGGCAGGATGCAAGATAGAAGATAATAAAATGAACTGGAGACAAGCTCAAGATACGACAGCAACAGGATACAAGACTAAGGTACTAAGGCAGGACTGAATACAGGCTCCTAAAGATTGGACTAGAGAAACCTATCACAAGCCTACAGCCCTGGGCTTCTGATTGTAAAATAAAGTGCCACTAACCATTCCCAAGGCTGAGGGATATGTGGCCAACCTTATTAGCCCACAGGTAACAAAGTAGTCAGGGAAAGGTGCTGAGGGTATGTGGCCAAGCTCATTAGGCCACAGCGTACAATGAAGTCTGGGGAAAGGTGCAGTTGCAGCAAGCAACCCCCAGGAGGAGTTGGGAGGCCGCATTAGACATGCTCCTAACAGACAAAAAGAGAGCCAAGCACCCAGTAATAAAACAGTGATTTTAATCTGTATTTACTCTATACAAAACTTTTTAAAAAATAATTTCCCTGCACATATACTTTTAGCCCTCATTCACACTGTAATCGGCCCGCACGTACACGTACAGCTCCGTGCTTCGTGCACGGCCGTATCGGGCAGCTCCCGGGAAGGACAGGTGCTGTGTGTGATTAGTACGCAGCCCCCGTCCTTCTCTATGGGAGAACGCGGCTGTACGCCCCCTACGCTCACCTCAAGTGCAGGTCCGTAGGGGTGCGAGTTTCCTGGCTCGGACGCAGACCGGATCCATCCTGTCAGAGTACAAGTTTGCTCACCCGCAGGGACGTGCAGGGCGGGTGGGCGTAGGGGGACGTATGGCCGCATACTCCCATAGAGAAGGACAGGGGGCTGCGTACTAATCACACGCAGCAGGTGTGCAATGGGTCTAAACATGACTGTATAGTCCAACAGGCACCAGAGTTAGACCCACAGCACTCAGTAATCAGCACAGACCTGGACACACCCCCTTTCCTTCTCTGCACTACAAGTCTGTATAAGGACATTTGTGCTGAGGGGTGTGGCTGTTACTCAGCTCTGCCAGCACAGAGCACTAGAGTGGGAATGCATAAACCAGGATTAATTTAAAAGAATTTCCATGCAATAATCATTAACAAATCAGAACGTGTAGGGGTGCGGGACTAAAAAAGTGTGAGACTTCAGCTGGACTTTACAGGGAAAGGATTGTGCATGTTCGATGGGTGCGTATACTGTTATTATGGCAGTGTTAACCTTCAAGTCGTTTTTGCTGTGACTTTCACAATTTCACAAGCTTGCTCTTGTTTGTTTATGTGTAAAGTAGCTACTCCAGTAAAAGTTTTATTAGCTGCGAAAATGCTTAACTGCGTAATACCTAACTGCATAACAGCTTTTGTGAATAGATATCAGCCACCGAATGTGCTGATGGTAGATGTATAAAAATCTATCAGTTTATGGCCAACTTAACACTGCAGGATGTAAACAAACAGTATAACCGTGACCACTCCATCGACGTAAGTATGCATTAGGTTAGTTGAGGGAAGGGGGGGGGCAAAAAGAATAAGTGCACTAATTCTTCTGCTTCCCTCTCTTAACTGAAATGATCCCTCCCTTCCCCACCACATCTGTAAAAAATAAGTCAAGGCAACTGGACTTGCTCTTTTTTTCTTGAAGACATTTCACTGGTCATCCAATCAGCTTTCTCAATTCAGAATAAATATGGTGAATCTTGCTCCAATCCACATAATCTGTTAGGCACGACCAGGTGTTGATTGTATTTGCATAATCAACACCTGGTTGTGCCTTACAGATTATGTGGATTGGAACAACATTCACCATATTTATTCCCAGATAATTTTTGTACAAGTCATTCAGAATTGAGAATGCTGGTTGGCCGACCATTGAAATGTCTCCAAGACAAATACAGCAAGTCCAGTTGCCTTGACTGATTTTTTACAGATATACCATGACCTGGATGAATGAGAACCTTCACAGACAAACTCCTCCTCCACAGAGGGTCACTGCTCAGCCATTTATTGACATCCAAGACTGCAAGTCTCCCTCTCCTAGCCATGTCCGTCTCCCGGCTGGCAGATGGCCCCATAGAAATCTATGGAGCTGTAATGTGCAGGTACAGTCAGCAGAGGGAGCATTTCAGTGCTGGATGAAGGGGAGGACGGGATCATTTAAGTCAGAGATAGGGAACAAAAAGCACTTTGTTTTATCCTTTAGGCAAGCTAGGGTTTAAATATGCATTACAGAGGAAGTTTACCCTTATGTTTGAAATGTCAACAAAGACACCTTTACAAATGTTTACTGATGACAATCTACAAACACATACTTCTAGATAGTTGCTGGCTTTTTATTCCTTGCTTACCTTGTTTTTCTTTTCTCCGCATTCTTCTGACACTGGCCATTTTTTACTAAGGGCAGATTAATATATCTCCCTTTACTTCCTGGAACTCTGGCACATTTGACTAGGACAGGTGACCATGCACATCATCTCAGGGGAGGAAAATGCATTTCTGTGAGATCTCGTGAGATTACAGGTGAGGTTTCCCAGCAATGCTCTGCTGATGTAAACTTCCCAGAATGCAACGCTTGGGCACATTACATCACTAATGCCCAAGAGAAGCAGGAAGTGGAAAATTGTAATAATAGTAAGTAAAATAGAAATATGTTTGTTTAACTAATGCATGTAAGATGATTTCATATCAGCATGCAGAGCTGCATGCTGATGTGATTTTTAGTGAAAGGGGGTAAAGGTTCACTTTAAGTACATTTAAATATTGAAGATACAGTGTAAATATAATTGTAAAGGGAAAGCCAAGGCAGGGCAAGGTGGGAATATTCTCACATCATAAAATCTTCACTTACCAACATGTGGATTTTTAGACATAGGCATGGATGAGCACATACGCTCTTGGGCTGCAGTGAGTTTTGGAATTGTGGAGGTCATTGGGTGCTTAGCCAATGCCAGGGTGGTTCTTCCATTATTGCTGGTGGTTGAGGTCGTTGTTGGGTCAGTCGTTAAGTGCTCAGCCAATACCAGGGTGGTTCTTCCATTATTGCTGGTGGTTGACGTCGTTGTTGGGTCAGTCATTGAGTGCTCAGCCAATGCCAGGGTGGTTGATCCATTATTGCTGGTGGATGACGTAATTGTTGGGTCAGTCGTTACGTGCTCAGCCAATGCCAGGGTGGTTCTTCCATTATTGCTGGTGGTTGACGTCGTTGTTGGGTCAGTCGGTGAGTGCTCAGCCAATGCCAGGGTGGTTCTTCCATTATTGCTGGTGGATGGATGTATTGTTGTGAACTTTGGATCCTTCGGCGTTGTCGCATCCTGAGGCGTTGTTTTGCTTGCTCCAGGGGGAGATGGCACTATAGTGACTGTTGTAGGTGTGCTTGATACAAACTGTCCGGTCTTCAAAATCTCAGGTGTAGATGCAGTGGAGTTTAGGTGGTCTGTTGGAGCAGTGGCAGATTGTGTAGATTGCCCAGTGACCTGTATGATATGTTCCGCAGCTGAGGAGGTGGTTGGAGGGGAAGTGTCTTTAGGGTTTGTAGAATGCGTGCTTGCCATGGAAGTCATCGATGGACCACCTACTGCCATACCTGTAAGAGGATGATCAATAGTTTAAAGTCAACTGAACTTTCAGGTTCAAACACTTACAGGTCTATTCACTGAAGGGTGAAGAGTTTGGAGAAGGCAGAACAAGTAAAAATATCTAGGCCAAAATAGCTGATTGGGTAAAATTCTCCAATTCAGCTCACTTTCCAGTTCAGCGATGTCGTCCTAGATTGTTCACTTCTCCGGCCTTCTCCAAACTCATCACCCCTTTAGTGAAATTAGTTATTAGTGTTAATTACAATACAGGAGCATCAGAATAAAAAGTATTTGTTTTCATCATAAAGAAGCCCCTTCATCAAGCTATAGAGAAGGGCCCTTGCTCTCTGTGTGGAAGTAGTGGTCTCTGTGCAGAGGTCCGACATTCCCCCTGCTCAGACAGAGCTAGAGCTCTCCCATCAGCAAAGGTCATGCTCCATCCTGACTGGAGAGCAATGGTTCAGATCGAGCAGGTCACGGGTCGGACCTCTGCAGAGAAACCACTGATGGGCTACAATCTCACGCTTAGTTTACTGATTTGTATTGAGATTTCAGTCCATCACAGGAATGAGCTTGGAGCGGTGACTACTTTACAACACACACAGAGACCGTGGGGAAGAAAAGTAGCCCCCCTCCAGAAGGAAGGACAGTGTCCGCACCAATTCAGAGATGATTGGAGGATCTACAGCCGAGTGATATAAAAATAATACACAAAGAATGTATTATTAAGATTTAACTCCATATTTTAGTGTCACATTAAAGTAACTACGTTTTGGACAGAGTAGAAAACGGGGTTAGAATCTCCGTCAGTTTTCCTTTGTCACTGTGGCAGGAAGTGAGGTCATCACCACTGGGGGTACAAATGATAATAAAAAAAAGCCAAAGAAGACACAACATTTCCTCACTCTACTGAAAAAAACTAAAAAGTGTTTTTCATTGCCATTGTGTGTTAGAGAGATTTTCCCTCACTTCCTGTCCCGGTGACAACATTGCCACCAGGACTGGAAAAAAAGGAAAATCTCTTTAATGGGCAGAAAAAGAAATGACAGAGGTTGTAAGATTTCTCTATTTAGGGGGTTATTCACAGAGGAGCCGAAAGATCCAGCCGTAGCTTCAGCTGATCCTTCAGCTCTCTTAGTTCAGTCGAACCGTAGGGCTGGTGTACGGGCTCTTCACTATAGCCCGTACAGCAGCCGAAGGCAGCCAATCGGCTCAGCTGAGTTGAAGGCATATGCTTCTGCTCGACTGAGCCGAAGTGACAGCCGAAGTGGGGCGAATGGCCTGCCAAAGGCCGGCTTTTTGGCCTGCAAATGACAGCTGGGCCGGTACCACTGTGGAAGACTGTGCCACCCAGGAGGGACTCTCACCTTCACACTTCCTTCCTGGTCTGCGGGGATCTCGGTCAATGTACGTCGGGTGACATTCACAGGTGAATGAGGTGTCTAGATTTTTGCAGTCTGCGTGGATGTCACAATCATTATCCGAAGGCGACAGACATTCATTGAAATCTGAAACCAAAAATAAAGCCATTAGAGGAGCCTCAAAATAAAGCTGATCAGACACAACGGCTGAATTCGGCTGAACATTGACTACAGCCAATCAGCTCCGGTCACTGTTCGGGTATTCTGACAGTGGCACACCTGCAGCTGTCAGAGTACGATAGCCCAGCCAGGGGATTGCTAACAGCACGGAATGGGAATGGAGAATGTCTTCTTCTTCAGTGTGCAGTATTATAGATCCATTGATGTCATCGCTAGGTCTCTGTACTTCTCTGTGCAATGCAGGCAGATCATGGCTGGTGGGAGGGGCCGGCAGGGGGCTGTAGAAGCTTGCTGTTATTCCTCCTGTCTCTCAGTCATAAAGAAATGTTCTGGTCCGCCTCTTGCGGCAATGTTTACCTGCGATTTTTATAGACTGCGGATCGACCTGGAAGGTGGAGTTGTGGCTGATGGCGGACAAGGAGGACACTGTGACGTCGGTGTGATTCTTCATGTCATTGATGATGATGAGGAAATTCACCACAATACTGCCGGGTGACAAGGACACGATGTGTACAGATACCTGATCCGGGGGGACGTGACCAGACAGAGACAGCTTCACCTAAGAGAAGGACACAGAGGAAGGATGAAGGTGTATTATCCAGGGGGGCAGGAGAGAGAGAGGGGGGGAGAGAAGGAGGGAGAGAGAGAGAGAGAGAAGGAGGGGAGAGGGGGGGAGAGAGAGAGAGAAAGATAGATAGATAGATAGATAGAACACTGTTATTGGTGGGAACGAACCTGTGTTCGGATGTAATTTTCTGTATTTAGAGGAATTGTCCTCGGTGTTGGAAATCTGGATGTGAATATTTAGGGCACATTCACACTACATTCATTATGTGTCATTCATAGTAAATGGCCCCCGGCCCTCCTCAAGAATTCCTGGGTGTTGTGGGGGGGGGGGGTCCTGTGTGTTGAGTTGTGATGATGTCATGTACACAGTTTCTATCTTTCTGATGTGTGTGGCGGCTTCCTTCTCATTCTGAATGGGCTCCCTGACGCAGCGGCTGCAACGCGCATCAACGCGCCACAACACGAGGGCTGCGGTGTGCTACATTGTGGTGTGAATGGACACTGATTGTTCTGTGTATGGCCACCATAAGACTGTGATCAGACGAATTACCTCATCGATGAATTTCTCTACAAAGTCTCCATATTGGGTAGAATTCGGATTCTGCATGTCTCCCGTGAGGTTCCAGTTATCGATCTTCAGAGATCCGTTCATTATTTGCCCCTCTGTAATTTTTTTAGGAAATCGTTTCAAATTACCCCAGACATGGGAAAAGCAAAGTTGTTACAAACAAAAAAAAAAAGTGTCATCCAAAAAGAAAAACACTGAGATAGGTAAAATCTGTTCACATTGCCCGTTTATTAGGGAATTTTGTATTGAGCCCGGAGTTCTCAACAACCATTCTAAATCATGATCCATGCTCGCTCTACAACTGCTCTTCATACATCTTACAGGGATGGTATTGTACTGCCACCTTGTGGTGGAAACTGATCACTGCACTATGTGTTTTGTAGTTTGGGGTACATTAGGGTGCCATGAAGCAGGGGCATCCCGAGGCTGGGTGACACCCGGAGCGGTAACCGAGTTTCACATGCGCGTGACGTCATCGCGCACGCGCGGCAGTATTTTGATACCTGCTGGCGGCCATCTTGGTGATGGACGCCGGCAGAGAGAGGAGGGGACAGTCACCCAGCGGGATATGGCGCCGGGTCCCTTCCTCTCTCCTGATACTGTCGGGTGTTCGGTCCATGACCGAGCGCCCGACTTTTCAGAGGGGGGTGACACCAAAATGACTGTGAGTCATTTTGGTGTCACCCCTCCAATGGTGGCACCCGGGTGCGGGCCGCACCCCCCTTGTGACGCCACTGCATGAAGGGCTCATTAATAACAGCAGGCAGAGCCGGATTTCCCACAAGGCCAGGCCTCTGGGCAGCAGGAAGTAGAGGGGCAGCAGGGGTGTGGAATTTCTATCTCCTGACGCCCAGGACATGTGGCGCCGGGCGGGTAGTTGTTTTCTACATTTAGCCCTGCTTTGGGCAAGCAGAGCTAAATGTACAGCGGGGAAGCCGCCACTTGGTCTGTAAAAGTGCGTATGCAGTCTGCAGCACTGCCATTCTCCATGGGTGATGGGGGGGTTGGCGTTTAGGGGGGGGCGCATTGAGAAATCTGACCTTGGGGCAGCAGAGCGAGTAAATCCGGCCCTGTCAGCAGGAGCACGTTAAGGTGCGCATAATGCAGCGTCCTAGTGTGCATATTGCACGTATACTGCTGTGCGCTGTGATACATTGTTAAGGGCCAATTCACACCACATCCAGATCATCTTCAGACCAGACCAGAGTGTTTCTAGACCCAGAATGCATCCTAATGTACCCCTATGCTATTTCTGGCCTCTGTTCACACCTGCACAGTCTGTTTCTAGACCAGACCAGACCAGACAAATACTCTCATGTCTCATTTTGTCTGGTCTGAAATGCACTGGAACTGCAGGCAGGTTCACACCATTTTCAGGACCAGATCTGGTCCTGAAAATGGTGTGAACCTGCCGTAAAACATATCGCCATGCTTGCTTTCATTTTTTCTATTTGTATGCAGTGAAGCACATTGCGATATATTACAGCACGTTGGAACATGCTGTGCAAAAATGCAACATATCCTACTTTTTTTTCCGCAAACTGAAGCCATAGGACGTAAGGCACGTTGCCCTATTCTTGCATTGGGACTGCATTAGGCAACGCTACTGGTATAAACGAGCCCTTAGAATGAATGGCACGGCAGCGCACCAACACCACCAATGTTACAATGTAAATCTGCTGGGGGGATATTGTTAGGATACATGTTACAGTGTTTATTGCAATAACTTCTGCAGTATACATTTTCGGTCACTAGAGGGTGGTGTTCTGTTATATCTATGGTAGATACTCTGTTGTATTGTAATAAGGTAGAGAATAAAGCTGCGGCTTCCTTCCTGTTTAGCCAAGCCATGAGCAGCATGCATATCAGACTGTGTGTTTGTGTTTCTCTGTGAGGCTGTGCAAGAAGTTCCAACAGATAACAGATATGATAAAGGCCACACGCATGACACTTACCTGTTTTCACTCTCTCCTTCCATAACTGCGTCTCTCCAGAACAGTTGCGGAATGTCACCAGGACGGTGTAGAGTTCCCCAGCATTCAGCCCACTTATGTTCCGGGATGTCTCGGATACGTTGACACTCCGGTGAATTTTCTCTGAGGATATCTGTATGTTATAAAGGTGGCTGTCGGGGCAGTCAGTACTCCAACGAATGTGAAATCCGCTAGTAGTAACGTTACTGATGCTGTGATTGAGAAATGTGGAGCAGCCTGTAGTGAAAATAAAGAATCGGTGTAAGCAATTCAAATGACAGCCAGTTATAGCAGAACTCTAGACAAACAATAATTGAACTCATTCATGTGCAAGTCTCAACAGGACTGGGGTATGTATAAGTCACATTGGGATTTGCATATGAATGAGAAGCTTAAACAATTGTCCATCTTTGCAATATCAAAAGTTGGGAGGTATGTATTGATATCATCCTGGTCAACCACCAGGAGGTTTATGGGCAGTAGTGTAGGATGAGAGAACGTATAAATGTTCAGTAGTGACCTTGGGAAGTCTTCTTTCCCCCGGGCCTCCTGCCTAAGGAAGGGACGCTGTTGTATGTCTGATTCTCCTAGGGCCAGCTGCCTGAGGAAGGTGACCGTGTCCTTGCACTGAGGCCTAGAGTTGAGGCCTGGTATGTTGAGCCTGGGGATAGAAATGCCATGGATGAACTCCCACCATACTTTCCCCTAGTTTGCCAGACCATCCAGTATGGTGGGTCTGGGCATAGAGATGCCATGGAGGAACTTCAGCCTGAATGAGGCCCCTAGGAGGCTGGGTAGAAGCTTGGTCCATGACCATGGTTTCTCCCACCATAATTTCCCCCAGGTAGGCTGGACCATCCAGTATGTTGGGTCTGGGGATAGAGATGCCATGGAGGAACTTCAGCCTGAATGAGGCCCCTGAGATGCTGGGTAGAAGCTTGGTCCATGACTGAAGTATGGTGGTTTGTCCCACCATACTTTCCCCCAGGTAGCCAGACCATCCAGTATGTTGAGTCTGGGGATAGAGATGCTATGGAGGAACATCAGTCTGAATGAGGCACCTGAGAAGCTGGGTAGAATCTTGGTCCATGACTGAAGTATGGTGGTTTCTCCCACTATACTTTCCCCTAGGTAGTTGGACCATCCAGTATGTTGAGTCTGGGGATAGATATGCCATTGAGGAACTTCAACCTGAATGAGGCACCTGAGAAGCTCTGTAGGAGCTTGGTCCATGACTGAAGTATGGTGGTTTCTCCCCCCATACTTTCCCCAGGTACCCAGACCATCCAGTATGTTGAGTCTGGGGATAGGGATGCCATGGAGCAACCTTAGTCTGAATGAGGCACCTGAGAAGCTTGGTCCATGACTAAAGTATGGTGGTTTATCCCACCATACTTTCCCCTAGGTAGCCGGACCAGCCAGTATCTTACAGCCAGGAGCAGTTGTCACAGAATACCAGGTGCTCATAAAGATTTGTGAAAGAGAGTGCTCTGAGTTTTGAAGCTTCTAGAAACAACAGGCAACCAGTAATCACATTTTATAATTTTGTCTTTAAACCCCTTCCCGCCAGTGGGAGCCAGTTAACCCTTTAATAGTTTGCAATGCCCAAGATCATGTGATTACAATAATTAACTGTCACAGTGGTCACTTCATCAGGACCCGCTTCTACCAGCTCCTCATATTAAACAACTCGGTCACAGTGCTGGGGGCACTCGAATAAATGTGCCCCCAACGCAAAACAGTGATGCCAGCCGTATGCATAAATGTGGCCGCACGGCATAAAGCCCACTTCCCATACCGCCACATCTAAGCGTACAACTGGCAGCAAAAGGCAAAACTGATGAAGGATCCAACTTGATTGGCTGCTATGGGGTTACTACACATTCCACTGCCTGATGAAGTCCAACTGTACTTATGAGCGCATCCTTACCTTGTCCCAGTGGAGGCAGATGGGTGCAGTTTGGCTTGCTGCAGATGTAGGAACCCTCTGTATTGACACAATGGTGGAGTGGTGGGCACGCACCAAGCTCGCGGTGGAGACATTCATCCAGATCTGCCAAGACATTGCAAAGCTTTTCAAATGATGTAGACCGACCTTGGGCCCCTTATTATGGAATCATGCAAACAAGTACAACATGTGTGTGTGTGTGTGTATGTCTGTGTGTCTGTGTGTGTCTGTGTGTGTGTGTCTGTGTGTGTGTCTGTGTGTGTATGTCTGTGTGTATGTGTGTGTGTGTCTGTGTGTGTGTGTGTGTGTCTGCGTGTGTGTGTGTTTTGGCCATAGGAATCAATTTGAATACAGCGGCCTTCTTACCAGTAAATGGTAAAACAAATAAAGGTATGGCCTCATGTACAATCTTGTTCCACAATCTCGTTTAGATTTACTAACATCTATGTAGAAGATTTTATTTCGTTTGTATCCAATAGAACACGCCACTGTACTACACACTTGTTGGTAAGTCTACAGCTGCCCATACACCTTGCGATTATCGAACCATTGTATGATTTTCGTACGGCGGCCCCATCCTGCCCCGATTATCGCACGGTTCAATCAGCAGTATGAAAAAAAAGCACCTGGACAAATCGCGGTAATCGACCGCACATATTTTTGTTTGCGCATGTGCAGTGTAAATCGTACGAATTTTGACGTACGGAAACGCCACCAACCTTGCGAAAATCGCACGATCGACCGAAAGTTTTCTAACCTGCTGGTTAGTCAAAAGTCGATTGATTGTACAGTATCTGCGGTTGTAGACTGCCCATCAACCTTACGAATATCGGACGAAAACGCGATCGCATATGAAAATCGGCGGATATTCGTAAGGTGTATGGGCAGCTTAATGGAGATTGTACAATCAGATTGAAGGGTTGTGCCTTGATGGTATTTATTTGCACTTTCTTTAGGTACAGTACTTTTAAAGGAGAACTATGGGGTCAGGGCTTTTCCCCACAATTATCCTAAGGGTCACGGGAGAACAGAAACTAGCATTCTCCTGTGACCCAAAGCCCAGTATACAGCTGCGTGAGTGACAGCTGGCTTTGCCTATCTAGAGGCAGGGCCAGCTGTACCCGCCCCCTCCCCCATCCGTTCTGCCAGTCAGCGCTGAAGGATCGGAGCGGGGGGCAATGCCTGCAGGGAGCCTTGAGTGACTGTCACAGCTCTCGAGATGTGAGCGAGCGCTGGTATGTGTTCGCTCACTTCCCGATCTACCGAGCCGACCTGTGACAGTTTCATTGTCACAGGTCGGCTCAGATTATGAGGCTGAGTGAAAATCACTGACCTCATAATTCTCCTTTAGGCACAGGATATTTAGGCACCAATGAGATTTTCTCCCCAAAAAAAGCAAAATAGCACACCCGAAGAAACACATTGTCAATCCCAAAGAAGATGAACAATTTACCCTTGAAGAGAGCCAGTAATCATTGGGCATGAGTAAGACTGTGCAAATTCATTCTTAAAGGAGAACTATGACATGAGTGATTTCCACTCACCTGAGACTGTCACAGGTCGGCTCAGTAGATCGGGAGGTGAGCGAACACATGCCAGGTTCCCTCACCTCTCGATCCTGTCACGGCTCTCTGCCGTGACAGGGGGAGGGGCTGGATTCCCCTCTCCCCGCTCCGATCTGCCAGCGCTGACTGGCGGAACGGACGGGGGAGGGGGCGGGTACAGCTGGCTCTGCCTCTAGATAGGCAGAGCCAGCTGTCACTCACGCAGCTGGGCGGATCCCGTCATCTACGTCGGGATCCGCTCCAGGTGCGGCGTCTCAGTATACCGCGAGCTGTAGCTCGCGGTATACTGAGCTTAGGGTGACGGGAGGACGCTAGTTTGTGTCCTCCCGTTACCCCAAGGAGAACTATGGGGAAAAACACTGACCCCATAGTTCTCCTTTAAGTGATATAAATGAGTATTCTTACATAGGAAAGATTTTTATTTTCTCACTTATTTTGCATTATTGATAATATTCATTCATTAAGCCCAAGTCCAGGTTAGGTAGCCCCCCTCCCCCCCTTCCCTCCCCTGGGGCACCCCTCCTGCATTTAAAGTGAAACTAAGCTCACAAGTTAAATATTAAAAATGCATTCAAGTATTTTAACTATTAATAACAGTGTATGTTATTTGTGTATCACTCGGCTGTAGATCCTCCAATCATCTCTGAATTGGTGCTGACACTGTCCTTCCTTCTGGAGGGTGGCTACTTTTGTTCCCCATGGTCCCTGTGTGTGTCACCGCTCCAAGCTTGCTCCTGTGATGGACTCCGTCTCACTGAGCTCCTTGACTGTATGGGTCATATCTTTATGATACAGTTGTGTTTGGGAAATGCTGCTTTGACAGATGACCACTTCCCAATGACAGTTGAGAGTCTCTGTGTTCATTTCAGACCATTCACCATGACCATGTGTGTTAGAAATGTCCTTTCTAGCATGTGCGCCCTTCTTCATGCAAAACAAGTTCATGCCATGTACATGGTTTACTTCAAAACATACATGCCATGTACATGGTTCACTTCCAAACATTCATGCCATGTACATAGCTGTGCTGGGTCACTACAAAACCAGGTTTTACGCTGGACTAATAGATGTTAGAAATTAGCTGCTTGCAGTAAAATCATTTCCAACAGCTTACCGTCTATCTGGATGTTGATCACTTCTGGCAGGCGAATCGCAATATTGCTGAGTGACGTTGAAATGACCTGAAGGGGTACCGACTCGTTTATACCAATAAGGATGCGAGATACGATGGTGAAAGGGCCAGCAGGCTGCGTGGAGATATGGTGCACCACTGCCTCTAGCGGCCACAATGCTCCAGTGACCTTGAGAAAAACGAAAAATTAGCTTTCACTAGATGTACATATTGACCGGTGCCGTCCCTATAATGAGGGAGCAGTTGCCTCAGGTAGCATCTCATTGGGTTACGTGGGGGGCTGGCCAATTCCTCTTTCCGGGCCACAGTGGCCAGGTTGCTGAGAGCTCCTAGTTACCTGTGACACTTGCCAGATCGTGCCGCTCAGCTCCCAGCAACCGTGAGCTGGGTGGGACGCTGGCCAGAGCGTCAAAGGTTAATAAGAGCTCTTAGCAACCTGGGACGCTCTGGCCAGAAATGGGGGCGGCAAGCATCTGGCTGGCGTCCCACCCAGCTCCTGGCAACCAGTGACGTCAGTGAGCTAGACGGGATACCGGACATTGGTACCGTGCACACCCTGAATCAAGGTGAGGGGTCAGGGGTTAAAGAAAAAAAACCGGAAGCGCCGACCGGGCGCGGGGGGGTGCCGCGAACGAGCACATATAGGCGATCGGCGGGCTATGGACCCGCTGATCGCCTATATGTGAAACACCCGGTAACGGGTGTGTGCATTGATCGGGTCTTTTCTGCCCGTGCGTGCCCGCTAGGGGGCACGCGCGAGCAGAAAAAAATTGCCGTCTGGAGACGGCAACCCGCAGATGCTGCAGTGCCGTCCGTCCGTTTTTTTACTACGGGCGGACGGCAAGAGGTTAAGCTGAAGTTTCATCTGCTTATATTTTGCCTTCCTGGGTAGCTTCTTCTCCCCCTCATCAACATAAAACTTTTCCATTTCCATGACATACCTAATTATAGACTTAGTGATATCACCACTGGGTCTCTATTCTCCTCTGTATATTGTAGGCAGATCTTGGCTCACAATGTGCAGTGAAATCAGAGGAAGCCATTTCAGTCCAGGAGAGGAGCCGCTACAGCTGTGCAATCTACTTACCATTGCATGCAGTAGTCTCGTGTGATTGGCATAACCCGGGTCCAGCTGTAGCAGTTCCAAAAATTTCATTTTTATAGTGATTGTTCCGTTGTACCAAAATTTGATTGTGTTCCGATCCAAAGCTGCAGGGAACAAAGAAAAAAAAGCTGAAAGTTCTCTGCAGGGGGGCTGAGATCCTGAAAGGCAACCCCTCTTCATCTCGCTGTTCTCCCAATGGAGTTATGGTATAAAGGAAACCTGTACTGAGAGAAATATGAAGGCCTCCTTTGGCTGTCTCTGGCTTCAGTGCTTTGGGACAATGACTCAGAACAAGCATTCAGATCAGGGAACTCTGAGTAGAATCGCATCCCCTAATTTGCATACTTGCTCCAAGTCATCTAGAACTGAAGCCACTGGTCTAGCATGAGAGCCAGGGAAGCGGCATTTAAAGGACAGATCAGAAATGTCAGCTTTCATACTTCCTCACTCAAAAGGGGTCTACTTATAAACAATTTGCAGAGCCATTGCCCCTGCAAATCTCTGTGAATGTATTTTCTTCATAAGTTGAATGTATTTTTGAATGTCATCTTGTAATATTGCATTATAGACACTAGATGGAGCTGAGCAGCATAGGAAATAAGTATTTATTCCCTATGTTCCTCAGCTCCATTCAGTGGACATAATGTAATATTGGAAGATGACATTAGAAAATACACTATATTGCCAAAAGTATTGGGACGCCGGCCGTTACAAGCATATGAACTTTAGTGGCATCCCAGTCTTAGTCTGTAGGGTTCAATATTGAGTTGGCCCACCCTTTGCAGGTATAACAGCTTCAACTCTTCTGGGAAGGCGTCCACAAGGTTTAGGAGTGTGTCTATGGGAATGTTTGACCATTCTTCCAGAAGCGCATTTCTGAGGTCAGGTACTGATGTTGGACGAGAAGGCCGGGCTCGCAGTCTCCGCTCTAATTCATCCCAAAGGTGTTCTATGGGGTTGAGGTCAGGACTGTGCAGGCCAGTCAAATTCCTCCACCCCAAACTCCCTCATCCATGTCTTTATGGACCTTGCTATGTGCACTGGTGCGCAATCATGTTGGGACAGGAAGGGGCCATCCACAAACTGTTTGGGTTGAGGTCAGGACTGTGCAGGCCAGTCAAATTCCTCCACCCCAAACTCCCTCATCCATGTCTTTATGGACCTTGCTATGTGCACTGGTGCGCAATCATGTTGGGACAGGAAGGGGCCATCCCCAAACTGTTCCCACAAAGTTGGGAGCATTAAATTGTCCAGAATATCTTGGTGTGCTGATGCCTTAAGAGTTCCCTTCACTGGAACTAAGGGGCCAAGTTCAACCCCTGAAAAACAACCCCACACCATAATCCCCCTTCCACCAAACTTTACACTTGGCACAATGCAGTCAGGCAAATACTGTTCTCCTGGCAACCCCCAAACCCAGACACGCCCATCGGATTGCCAGACAGAGAAGCGTGATTGGTCACTCCAGAGCACACGTCTCCACTTCTCTAGAGTCCAGTGGCGGCGTGCTTTACACTGCTGCATCCGACGCTTTGTATTGCACTTGGTGATGTAAAGGCCGTGACACACTACACGCGAAGCTGCGCGGAGCGGTGGCGCGCTGCCTTTGCGAGCAGTGTGTCATGTAATTTTCTCCTCGGCAGTTCAGAGAGCTTGCGTAGCTGAGCGTGCCGAGATGAAAAATGTCATCTTCAGCCAATCGGCTCGTGCGTATAAACCAGCGCGTCGGCATGCGACAGCTGGTTGGTTGTTACGGACGAGTCGATTGGCTGAAGGTGCTGTCAATCATCTGACTGCACTCAGCTCACACACTGCACGCAAAGCTCCGTGCCGGATAGCTTTGCTTCGCTCTGCACGGCTTAGCGTGCAGTGTGTCACAGCCTGGATGCAGCTGCTCAGCCATGAAACCCATTCCATGAAGCTCTCTACGCACTGTGGTTGTGCCAATCTGAAGGCCACACGAAGTTTGGAGGTCTGTAGCTATTGACTCTGCAGACAGTTGGCGACTTCTGCGCACTCTGCGCTTCAGCATGTGCTGAATATAGTGTACATTCGACTCACAAATAAAATATACAAGAATGTTCATTTTGCGCAGAACGAACATTCACAGATATTTGCCTGCAAATTGTTTACCAATAGACCTCCATGTGTCCTCGATTTCAAGTTGTGATCTGATATTTGCAAACACCTTTGAAACACAAGTAGCTTCCACAAAGAACTTCAGTAACCTCCACATGGAAACAAAAGGCTTAAAGGAGAACTATGAGGTGAGTGCTTCTCACTCACCTCATAGTTCTAGCCGACCTGTGACAATGAGACTGTCACAGGTCGGCTCAGTAGATCGGGAGGTGAGCGAACACATACCGGCGTTCGCTCACCTCTCGATCCTGTCACGGCTCTCTGCCGTGACAGGGGAGGGGCTGGATTCCCCGCTCCGATCCTCCAGCGCTGACTGGCGGAACGGACGGGGGAGGGGGCGGGTACAGCTGGCTCTGCCTCTAGATAGGCAGAGCCAGCTGTCAGTCACGCAGCTGGGCGGATCTCGACATCGATGTCGGGATCCGCTCCGGCTGCGGCGTCTCAGTATACCGCGAACTGTAGCTCGCGGTATACGGAGCTTAGGGTAACGGGAGGACGCTAGTTTGTGTCCTCCCGTTACCCTAAGGAGAACTATGGGGAAAAGCCCTGACCCCCATAGTTCTCCTTTAAAGGATATGTCCAGGCATTGCTCCTATTCCCCACCCCCTCTCCCCCTGTTCCTGCAGCAAGAAACAGCATTTATTACTACCTTTGACACCATCACAAGTCTTGTAAAATTCTTGCAGGGGCAAATATTATTGACATAGGTGCACCCCCAGAACTACATCTCCCAAGAGCCCTTTCTCTACAAACAGAGTGTCAGCAGGCTCTTGGGAGTCAAGGCAGCAGCATTGTTCTGCTTGGAAAGAAATCTGTATGCCTGCATGAAAGAAGGAGTGGGGGATAGGCAGAGTTCTATAGTCTGGCAGGCAGGGCTAACAACACTGCTTGGGATATGCACAGCAGCAGAGTACAGTGCTGTCAGCCCAAACAGGAAGTTAGGAGTAGACTGTGCAGACATTAGATAGCGGCTCCTGGCCGCCCGGGAGAGAAACATTTTCTCCCGGAGAGGTTTACTCTGCTTGATTGAGCAGAGTAAACCTTTCCCTGCTCTGTGTTTTTTTTTGTCTGACATCGGTGCAGCCGTCAGTCAGAAAAAAAAACAGCATAGGAATGTATAGCTAGATTGCTATTGGCTATTTCACTTTGCAATAGCCAATAGCAAACTAGCTATTGCACCCGCCCACTGTTGCTGTCAATCAGCAGAGGGGAACCTGAAGTTCACCTTTAGGTCCTCTTCTAGCGATTAACAGCAGCAGAGGGCGGGTGCAATAGGCAGCTTGCTATTGGATATTGCAAATTGAAATAGCCAATAGGAATCTAACTATTCATTTCTATGCTGGTTTTTTTTTTTTATTTTATTCTGACGGCAGCAGCTGTCAGAATACTAAAAAAAAACTGCAGATAGCAAAGAAGCTATTACTTCCCGTGCTATCTGCCATCATTTCAGGGGGCAGCGGGCACCTCCCTGAAATGAGAAGGGCACCTCCCTGAAATTGCTTTTTTCAGGTCGGGATCCCTGCACTGTGTCTCTGGCAGATCACAGGTATTTGTTCTGTACTTACAGGATTTTTAAAGTGATAAAACATGGGGACATGTGCATTTATTGCAGAGAAATGCTGAATGTTTTTTTACACTTTAAATGGGTTTTATGAACTAATTATAATGAATTCTCATTGTAAAAAGAATTTTGATCAGAGTTCACCGTTATGAACGGACCTGGAAGTTCGGGAGACACACAAAAAGATCCAGCGGAAGTGTCACAACATTTTTGGAATCCAGGACAGCCATAATCCTCTGTGCACTCGGGGCACAGGACCCAGTCATCTATTTTGGCAGGACAGGCGCCGGGCCTGGTGGCGGTTAACTTTGGACTGTTCGCAGCTGTAACACAGAGATTCAGATGTTACAAATGTGAAACCCAATCAAAAATATTAATGAAAGAACCTGGTATAGCTTACACATGGCACAGTAATGGCCCACAGGCTCGTAGCCTTCGCAGCACTCTTTAATGACCATGGTGTCAGGAACCAGTATGGTCCGGTACTCCGTCACATAATAAGTCCTGGAACACAACTTCAATGGAATCCATCCCATACACAAGGATTTCTCCTCATGTTGCTTCTGGAAAAGGACCACCTTGGAGACATTTACAGTCACTTCCCGTTTGCAGACATGGTAACTTACAGGAGAGATCATGTTTCCTGTATGAAGAAAAGAATTGAAGGGGAAATATAAATATTGCTTCGTATGAGAATAAGAAAAGAACACAAAGTTTCTCTGTAGTTGGATTGAGAGGGGAAGGGTCAAACCTCAGTAAAGGGAAATGAGAACACCTGTTTGGAGACAGCTGATTATTTATTATATCTGTATAAGTTTTGGGGGGGAAAAAATTCCTATTTCGCACAAAGAGCTCCCATGACACTTGTGACACAAAGCATTGTAGGTTTTTAAAAGAGAGAGCATATCAACAGCTGTTTGCCTTTAGACTCTCTCTCCCTAATTGAAATTGTGTTGCCATCTTAAAGTGACATTAAAGTATATATTTTGTTTCCCTCCCCCAATGTTAGTGTAAGCACTTACCTTAAATGATGTCTTTTAATCTGATCTTCTTCTTCTCTCCTGTCGTTTTCAGCCTTCTCTCCAGCGCTGCTGCGGGTCTCCAATCCAACGCTGACTCCTCTGTGTTTGCAGGCACCTCCTGTCCCACGCTGTCTGCATGCGGGTGCACGCTGTCCATATATTTACCTTGTGTCTCCCCTATTCTCCTACAAATGTCCAAGGTTCTGTAGCACACCTTACCGGAATTCCCATAGGTAAAAATGGGTGCTCACAATGTCTGCGGATGGCGCCGCATCAAGCAGAGTATGTTGTACAGATATGTCACCAGCACTCCAGCATGACAAACAAGTCAATTTTAGTGAATCTCCATTTTTTTATTTGTCATAAGTCACTTAAAGTAGGGTCAAGCGCTTTCGGGGCCGCGCAGAGTCCCCTTCACTTTGAACCTGATAAAGGG